AGTATTTAAGAAAAAAAGTTCTTAAAACAAGAAAAAAAATTCTTATTTTAGGAATAAAAATTCTTGAAACAAGAAAAAATATTCTTACGTGGCGGGCAAGTCATTTTTTTCTTGTTTTAAGACTTTTTTTGCTTGAAACAAGAATCTTGGATTTTGCTGTGTGCTCTATATTATTTTAATTTAAAATAAAAACCATAAAAGTTTTTAAATTGAACGGTTAATTAACATTTAATTTTTTTTTTATTTTTTGAAAAAGCTTTCGTGCAAAAGTTTAGAAACAGTATCATACCACGCAATTAAGTCATGTTTTTGTAAACAAAAGCGATATTTAAGGCCAAAATTTTTGTGAAATTTAATTATTTTAGAGTTATTTTCAAAAGCAGTGAAGTATAACTAATTGCTAAAATATTTGTAGTTCAATTACTTGAATAATATTAGGGGAGAACTTGCACCCTTGATCCGTAGGCACCTTTGATCCTATAGCGTTATCTCCATACTTACATAACTTATTAAAGAGGGCTGATAACCAGCGTGTTATAAATATTGTATTTTCAAAGTTAATTGTGTTTTGGTTAGAGAATAGATCAATATTGAATTTATTTCTAAATAGTTTGATTTTGACGACAAAAAGTAATTTTTTTACTTTTACAAGGGATCTCACATCTTTAATATTTTTTTTAAGTTGAATAATTTTGCTTATGTCATTTTTTAATTTAACTATTCACCTCTTATATGGTTGCTTTTGGTAAGCTATAGAAGCATCTAATATGACAAAAAAATAATTTTTGTAAAAATAAAGCAGGTTAGCACCCTTGATCCTAATGCGTTTATGCACCTTTGATCCTATGATCAAAGGTGCATACACACACACACACACACAAAATGTTTAACTTTTAAAGTAACATGTACAATACGTCATATTGTTTTTGTTATTATTGTTAAAATGACGATTTTATACTATTTTGTATTTTTTTGTTCTCCTAAAACTTTTATATAATATCTATACTATATAAAACTTTTATATAGTATACACAGATATATATATATATATATATATATATATATATATATATATATATATATATATATATATATATATATATATATATATATATATATATATCTGTGTGTGTTTGTTAATAAAGAAGCTTTTAGTAAGTATAAATCTTTATAAATGTTTATCCAAAAATTAGGAATATAGCAAAACTATATAAATATGTTTCATTTTTTTATAGTTAAATATGGTGTTTCATAAAAAAAGAAAAACCAATAGACCACCTAGAGGTAAAGTTAATGAGAATAAAATACGATCAGCTGTTAATGCAGTTCTTAATGGTGGTACAGTTTATCGTGTATCTAAAGAGAGGGGAATCAATTTAATGACACTTGAGAGATATGTAAGGAAATGTCAATTAAATACAAATACAGTCTGCAAACTTAACTTCATTACCATGCAAATCTTTACCAACAAAGAAGAAACATCTTTATCAGATTATCTTATTATTTTATATAATTGTCAACCAAAATAACACAAAAACTTGCCTATGAATTTGCAACAACTCTTTCTAAGCGCATTCCTTAATCGTGGAAAAGTCAACAAATTGCTGGGAAATAGTGGCTTTGTAGTTTTATGTTACGTAGGAATGAGTTATCTTTACGAAATCCAGAAGGTACTAGTATGGTACGAGCAACTGCTTTTAAATTTTATACAGTCAGAGAATTTTTCACCAATCTAAAAGATGTTCGTCTATGACACAAGTTTCAGCCACAAAACATATATAATGTTGATGAGACAGGTCTCACAACTATTCAAAAGCCAGTTAAAATAATTGCTAAAAAAGGAAATAAACAAGTTGGAAGGATAACTTCAGCAGAAAGAGGGACATTGGTAACAGTTTGTTGTGTAGTTAATGCAATAGGAAACTTAATCCCTCCATTTTTTATTTTTCCAAACGTTCATTTCAAAGGAAGTATGATATTTATCATACTTCCTTTGAAATGAACTTTTGGAAAAATAAAAAATGTCAAGGTTTTTATTTTTCCAAAAATAAAAACCTTGACATTTTTTGTCAAGGTTTTTATTTTTGGTAAAAAATAAAAACCTTGATAATAAAAAACGCAACCCCAACAAACCAATTTGGTTGGATGAATGTTGCAACGTTTTTAGAGTAGATGAAACATTTTATTCAAAATGTGAAATATTCACTAGCTAATCCAGTGCTTTTACTTCTTGACAACCACGAGAACCATGTTTCAATTGTGTGTTTAAATTTAGTTAAAGAAAATGGCCAAACTATGCTGTCTTTTCCACATTGTAGTCACAAGTTGCAGCCATTAGATTGGTCAGTTTATTGGCCACTGAAACGTTATTACAATGCAGCCTGTGATAATTGGATTGTATCTAATCCAAGACCAATGACCATATATGGTATAGCTTCAGTTGTAAGGAAAGCCTATGCACAAGCTTTTACTTTGTCTAACATTTCTGCAGGATTTGCTGTGGCAGAAATTGAACCCTTTAATCCTAAAATATTTTCTGATAATTAGTTTTTGTCTTCATATGTTACAAACTGTCCAGAACCTATTACTGCTAACCCATTTCCAAGTGTTGTTGATCCAGTTTCTGCTATTGTTCATGCCCCAGCTTTTAATCAATCATTGATGTCATCCTATATCTGACCCTGGAAGTCAACTATCCAGTGTTTCTAATATCTCTCATCAAGCAAGTCTAGAAAAAATTAGGCAATTTCCAAAAGCTGGATCATGGAAATCCATTAAAGGACGTAAACATCAGCGTACTAGAATACTCACAGACACTCCTGTTCGAAATGAGTTAAATAAACTTCAGGAAATAAAAAAAAAAATCTCAGCCAAAAAGAAAAAGCATGAAACGCAAAATAAGATCTTCAGTAAAAGATAACATTTTTTCATTGATTTTTTCTTTTTTTAAGAAAGATAAATTTGTTGTAAAATTAATAATAACTTTATTGGTTTTTATTATAGACATTTTTTTGATGACTTAAAAATTATTCTTATACATTTATGGTATAAATTTGATCTCGAATCAAGTATACATACATAGGATCAAGGGAGCATATAGGTAGGATCCCATGATCTCAATTGAGCGTTCTTAGTTTTTATAATTTTAAATTTACTTAAAATGTTCTAGTAAAAAAATGATTATTGAATTATAATAAGGTATAAAATTTGCTATTATGTACTGTTATTTTAGATATCAAAATAAAAACATATATTCAGTAAGTTGGCCTGATAGATTTTTAGGATCATGGGTGCATACTCTCCCCTACTAATATTTTAAAGCATGGGAAAAGCTTAGGAAGTTTCAAAGGAAATAAAGAAATTTATTATAAAAGTTGTGGGATTTATTATAAATTTATTATAAAAGTATTATTGTTTCATATGTTTATCTTAAAGGTATTTTGTAAAATATTAACTTTTTTGTATTGGAAGTTTATTTTGTTTATGTTATCGCAGTGTAAAAAAATTTTGTAATTAATATGATTTTGTAAAAATTTAAATTAAAAAAAAAAATGACTTAAAGGTAGATTTTTGAACTTTACAATGTTTCTAAACCAGGAAGAAGTCACATTATGAAAAGATTTCGTCTGCGCAAAATTATTGAAAACAAACCTCGCTCTGGAAAGCCTAAAGTTACTATTTTTTTTATTTTTTTATAATTTAGGTGCCTCAAGAAGACCTAACGGTCTTGTCACTGAGCACCGCGGAAGTACATTTAACTAGGAAGTTCACGCCTCCCTCTTAGTGACGCGAAAATATGTCCAGAGCTCGTTTTGAATCTGGATTTCCTGCTTATAAAGCAAGCGACCGAAAAGTCTGATAGATTATCGTAAGGTATTCCAAAAGTATTCATTGCAAGACTGCTGTCGAACTTAATTTTTTTATGCATCAGTTTCATGGCACAAATTTTAGCGTCGAATCAAGTAAACGCCGATTACGACCAAATAATCTGTATGGCCGGCGTCCAGTTAAGAAACCGCTAGCATCTGCTTAAAAATTTGCAAAAGATCATGAGTTGGTCAGTTAATTACTGGTCAAGTCTTTTTTTCTAATGAATGAAAAGTTAATGCTATTCAGTAGTGACGGAATTAGGTATTTAAGGCGCCCAATAAGAGACAGATTAATCCAAAATGAAGGAAATGTTATGATTTGGGTGTGTTTTTAGTCTTGTTTATGTGGTTTAATCTTGATAGTGTGGTTCCCATTCATCACATACTCTCGAGTTCCTAATAAACGTCTTCTTATGTATCTCAAAAGTAAAAAAAAAATTCAGTGAAAAAAAACATTGTCAGAACTGTTAAGGAGAAACAAAACATTAAACAAAAATTTCAAGTTTTAGCCATCTCAGTCCAGATCTCAATCCTATTGAGAATTTTTGAGAGTATTCCGACCGGCAATAAGTTGGTAGAAAAACAACCAACAAAGTCCGTATATTTGAGTTGATTAAAGAGTGTTGCAATATTATTAGGATGTCCTCATTAAATTTTTAGATTTGCCTCGTCACTGTGATGCTGTCTTAAAGCCAAATGGATATACCACCAAACGCTAAGTGTTTTATGAAAACTATTATATATTTAAAGAGTTTTTATTTTGTAAATTTTAGTAAAAGTTTGCAAAAGCTTTTTCGAAATAAACATTAATCAAATTTAGTTGTTTAAGCTTTTGCACGGGAGCGTTTTTAAAAATACAATTGTTATTTAACCACTCATTGTTACAAATTTTATGGTTTTTATTTTAAATTGAAATAATAGAGCACATTTGTAAAAAATTATGCAGTAAAAACCGAGAAAAAGTTGGTGTTTCTAAACTTTGGCACGCTTCTGTCTAAGTTAAATTTATGAAATATTTTTATTTAAAAATTTTTTTAGAGGGCTTCCATATATAGGGTGGAACGCGGAATGCTAATTGATAAAATAATTTTTTTTTTAATTAAAAAAAAAAAATAAAAAAAAAAAAAAAAGTGAGACAGAAACAAGCATTTTTTTCATTTTTTTTATGTTACTCATTTTCTTCACTTCTCAATTTAGCAGCGCCATTAGTGACTTTAATTGATAGTTGATTAGCTCGTTCTACTATTTCTTTTCTATTGCGACTAGAAACGTTGCTAGCTATTTCTGCAGCATATACACCTTTAAGCATCATTAGAAGCTCAAGCTCCTATAACAAAAAAATAAAAACAATTTTAACACAAGATAAGTCAGTCTTTAGGATAAAGGTGAGCTAGACATTTCTGGCATCACCATATTTAAAAACCCTAAGAGTAGCACATTCGCTCACTCAGGTAACTCACACATTTAACTACACAAAACATTCACATATTCAAATATATAGAATATTTTCTGTTTGCTGTGCTATGTACATTAATTTATGTAATGTGACGTAGTTTCAAAATTAAATTAAAGATTAAACAACAAAACCCCTTTTTAATTAACAAAATTAGGTTCTACTATATTTATCAGCAAAAATCAATCTTTTTTTTGAACAAAAAGTTTATAAAACAGGTACTAATTGTAATTTTTTTAAATTAATATTCTTGATTTAACAATTTTAACCTAGCCTTTACAGGTCTTCAAAATATTGTGTTTAGAAACTAATGCACTTGCATCAGTTTCTAAACATAATATTTTAATAAGCAGTAATTATTATTTCTATTAAAATATTTTAAATATTTTAATAATCAGAAAACAAAGCTAAATAAAATCTTATATCTTACAGAATATTTTTTTTGAGCACAAAAAAATTTTTAAAATTCCTTTTCAAGTTCCTACACAACACACTTTGAGTTAATCACAGTTAAAGAGACATTGAAACTGAAAAAATTATAAATTTTATTTCATCACATTAAAGATCTAAAATCATATGTAAATCACCTCCTCAAAGCTAAGAGGGCCACTACAATCAAGGAGTCTACTTTATTGTGTTTACCCTCTCTCAACTCTTTAATTCCAAAACACTGACATTTTTATATTAGATTGAAAACTTTTAATATTAGATTGTGAACCCTTAAAATTGGTTGGTTTATTATGTTTTCTATGAAATTTAATACCAGCGCACAAAAAAGTGATGACAGGATGGTCATTTTTACATTAACTTAATCATTTTCAAAGACTCTTCTTTTTTTTTGCCATCCACATATATATATATATATATATATATATATATATATATATATATATATATATATACACACAAACATTTCTGTATGGTAGTCGAAAAGACTCTTTATAGGTTGAATTAAGCGATTAGAATTTGCAATATCTGGTCTTCATAATTTTTGTTTATGCAAAACTGTGTATTTTGTTTTTTAAGGAGTAAATGAACTTAAATTTGTAGTAAAAAAGTTGTAAAAAAACAAAACAATAAACTTGCGACTATAAAAGTAATACCACTTTATTCACTAACTGCATTATAAAAGTATTAAAACTATAATAGTTAACTAAAAGTGTTCCCAAATTTTAATTTAAGTAGAATAGCATTTGGAAAAAATAGAGAGGATATTCAAATAATATTAGAAACTTAAACTACTACTTAATTTATAGTTTATCATTTTTTAAAAATGTAACTAATTGTCTGTAAAAATTAGCATAAATTTTAAAATCTACCAATTACTAATTTTTATTGGTTCATTTTAAAATAAACGCTTGTTTTTTTTTTTTTAAAGTTGATTAAGGTGCCCCAAGAAGGCATTACGGTCTTATCACAAAGCACCGCGGAAGAGAATTTAATGGGAAGTTCACGCCTTCTTCCCTACCGATGCCGCAAAACTTGCCCAGAGGTGGGGTTTAAACCACGGATTTTACGTTTCTGAGGCATGTGCGCTACCAACACGGCTGCTTAAAAACATTTTAGAAATGTATTAAACTTTTTATAAAGCACATATTTGTTTAATTTCCTGAAGTTATAAGTATTATTTGAATATCTACTATATTTTATCTAAACACTATTCTACTTTAATTTAAATTTGGGATTACTTATGTTGTTTAAACAAAGAATACAATTTAAAAGTGATAAAATTTAAAAGAATAAAATTTCAAGTGTTATAAAAGTAATAACAATATTATAGTTTTCTTACTTTTATAATGCAGTTAGTGATTAGAGTGTTATTACTTTTGCAGTCGAAGTTTGTTTTGTTTTTATAATTTATTTGCTAACAAATTTAAGCTAGTTTGCCCCATAAAAACAAAGTACACCGTTTTACATAAACTAAAATTTTGAAGACCAGATTTTTCCAGATATTGCAAACCGTGATTGCTCTATTCGACCCTTGTTCTTCCATAAGGGTTCATCGACAAACTACGTCACACAATTTTTGGTTGTTTTAGACCTATCCCTCTTATTACAACATCTTAACTCTTTAGTAACAAGTTCTGTATGAGTCATCTCAAAACCATCAACTCCTATCCCCCTCTTAAAGCAGGACATAATTTATGCATAATCTCTAAACAGTTATTGTAAATTTAGCCCCAATAAACCAGACCAGAAAAAGTTTTTCTTATAAAATAGATTGCTGGCTCAAACCAAACCTTCAGTTAATGAAGAAGCACTCCTCGCACGTTCTACCTATTTGTTAATTGATGTAACAACCCTGCTTGCATGTTTTTAAAATATTTAAAAACAAAAACATAATTAAAAAATCTTTAGTCACGATTATTGGGATTTTATAAATAATGACAAAACTTAATGTACTTCCACATTTTTAAAATTGCTTCAACATTTAAACAACATTGTCCCTTAATTGTTGAGGTCGATGTTATGTTGAAATATGCTATTGGTTTCAAAATACGGATGAAGGTGACCATGATTTCCTTAACAATGTATGGCTTGGCAATGTAAGGCTTACTTCATACTTTCTGGGCATGTCAACAGCAAGAATAAAGTCTTCTTGGGGTACACAAGCACTGGAGGAGGTGTTTCAGAGGGCACTATACTCTTTAAAATTTATGGCATAAGTGGCCATATTAAAACAATATTTTTGGATCATATTGGTTTGAGAATAAGAATGAAAAGGACTAATACTCTCTGGTGACTTATTGCCACTTGAGAGTATTATATTTAGGTGATTTACAAGTTCTGGATGGATCTTGCATCACAGCAGAAAATAAATGAAAATATTTAAGGGATTAAACAAGATCAAGCTACCCCCACATATAGCCAATATCACAGAGTGGCTGAACCAATGATTCCCTGATCATTTGATTAACAGGCACCGTGATTAAGAATGGTCGCCACATTTGCTTGACTTAAATCCCCCAGACTTCTACTAGTGGGTTTTTTATTTTTTAGTTTTTTAAACCTGTGGGTTCTTTAATTTTATCAGATTAATCATCTGACTGTTGCTTAACTAAAATTGGCTATTACAAAAAACATTTGTGCAATAGAGAAGAATGTCAAAGTGATTAATAACTTAGCTTGCTGACAAATATGAGAGAGAATGGTGGTCATTTGGAGCATGTGTTTAAATAAATAATAAGCAATTTAATTAATAAATTAAGTTAACAATATTTTACTTTCAATATTTGCTATTATGTGAACTCTCAGAAAATATAATTTTTTATGTATTGAATTTTAATTAATTGCAATCAAATTAACTGGTTTTGTTTTTTACAACACTCCATATTTCTCACCAAAAGTATATCCAGTTAGGACTTAAAAGAAGCACAGAAAGTTTTGTAGAAAGTTAAAAAGTTTAAAGTTTTTATATAAAAACAATTTTTTCAAATGAAGACTACATTCTTAAAAAAGATTGTTTTTTATGAAATCTCTATAAAATTCCACTTCTTTTGAGGCCCACCATGATATGCTTTAGGAGAAAAATCATTTTGGTAAAATGACACTTGCGATGTTGTCAGGTGTCTTGGTGTGGAAACATTTGTGTAGACCTAATAGCAATTTATAAATAATCAGGCTACTTAAGTTCATCATTTGTGATCACAGGTGATATTTTTAGTGATAACCCTATGGTCATGCAAATAATACTTCGTTTGACAATTTGACCAAGGTTCTTTACATATCAAAAATGCATTGAATAGATTTATAAAAGATTATTAACTAGGTATTATAAATATCAAAACTTTAATCATTAAGAACATTTTTGTATTAGCAAAACAATTAAATCAAGTAACAAATTCGAAAATATTTTTATTCAAAGTATCAATGATAGCAAGTATCAATGATAGCAAGTGACTGACAAAGTATCAATGATAGCAAGTGACTGGGGCCCTGGCTGAATGATAAGATCTAGCAGGGGTAGATAGCCTACGCTGGGAATAAATTTATAATTCTTACATTAAATATTTATTAAATTTACTTATTTACATGTATTTATGCCAGTATTTAATAAGGACAGATACAGTAAAAGGATGCAACTTGTTGAATAAGAAGCCAAGCAAGAGTTTTGGTTGATTGTAATAGAGATGATCATGATAATGATGATAATAATGATGGCGATGATGAATATGATGATCAAATTGGTCATGTTTATAAATGCATATATATACAAAATCTAACATAAATTTAAAAAAAAAAAAAAAAAACTTTAGGATGTATAAATATTTATGCAGTCCTGGTCATAAATTTAACCTTAGATGTTTATTAATCAATGACAGTCATAGAACTCTTTTTATTTATGTTATATTGCACAAGTATGCACTTTTAATAATTAACAGTATTTTTAAAAAAGATAAATTAATTTTGATTATATATATACAACAAATTTTTTAGACAAAAATAGCCTTTTTGTTTGAATGAATGAAATGTTAAAAAACGCTTATAATGATAAAATTATCGTTTTAATACATCTTTCATTAGAATGATTTAAGTTAACTTTCTTTCTTTCTGTATTTGTATGAAAAACTTACTATATTTTAATAAAAAGAACAACTATAAATCAAATTAAATGTGCTTATTTTTAGATCAAACTATTTCCCATAATATTTTAAAAACATTTGCAAATATAAAAAAAAATTTTATTCAAAATATAGTTAAATAGTTTTATTCATTAGTTTGTTTTTTAGGTTTTATTTTTGTTTACAAGTTTATTTTTAGCATTTTAGTTTTAACTAATTTTGTTTTTCTTTCTATTTATTGTTAAAGTATCAAAAAATGTTCCTTATTTTTTAAATTTAACTTTAGATTAAAATACCTTCTCAAAAATAACAACTTTTTAATACAAACCTTAATGTTATGAATGACAAATTTTTTAAATCCATCAGGCATAAGATGACGTGTCTTAGCATTACTTCCATAACCAATACTTGGCATTAAATACTGTCCTTTGTAACGCCTCCTGACTCTGTTATCAATACCTTTAGGTTTTCTCCAGTTTGGCTTTAATTTTGCATAGCGTTCTGATTGATGACGAACAAATTTCTTTGTTCTTTTTTTGGTTATTTTGTGTTTAACTGCTGGTACAACCATTGTGATGGCTCTAAATTATTGAAGATGAGTTTCTCACAAAAAATAAGGAGGTCAATATAGAAACAACCCAAAGCCACAATTATAAAAAGTTACAAAAAGTCATATAAAGTTATAAAAAATCTTTTAAATAATATAAAATTTAGTAAAGAGTCTAAAATTTTGAGTGGCAATAAAGAAAAAGATTTTTATAAAAATTTCTAGTAACTTGTAAAGTAGATGCCTGTATTAAAAACTGCAAGAATTTTATAGCCTGAACTAGGCCTATAAATTAACTATGCACACAAAATTAAGGACATCTATTTATCCTGAACAATTACTGATAAGTAAGTTTAACCTGTTAACATTTGAAGCAAGTACTAAAATCTTTTTACAGTTGTTCAACTCAGAAATAATATCTAAAAGGTCAGGTAAAACGCCCTTTATTACATCTCTTAAAAATTATTAAAAATCAAACTTTCAATTAAAGATAATTTTAAAAAGTATAAATTCTAGAGCTAAACAGTATTAATGTAAAAATTATTTTAGTTAAAAATCGCATCAACAGTTAATAAAATATTTTGATACTAATTTTGTATACAATAGTTAAAACCTAAATTGAAAAGTAAAAAAAGCATAACTGATTCTTCGAAAGAGACTACAACAATCAATCCGATTTTTTAATATAAAATAGAAAATGTTTATTAATGAATGAATGCAATAAGGGATCTGTCGTGTAAGTAACGAGAGATTAAAGCATGTTTAAATAAACTTAAATGTCTAAATAATTTGATAACAATGTCCAAAAATAGTTAAACAAATTGTAGAGTACAGTTTTAAAAGTACAACGAAAAAGATTCCAGCGATTCGCATCGATTAAATACTTACAGGCGGTCTCACTCTAGCTCCGCTGCGGATTGTTTATCAAAAGAACTGCTATAGTGTTCGGTCTGCCATTATGGGTACTATTTTGCCGAATCTTTTCAAAAATAAACAAAAATAAGCTTTTAATTAAAAAATTTTTCAAAAATAAATAAAAATAAGCTTTTAATTAAAAAACTTTAATTATAATACTAAAACGCGCCTATCCTGGTTTTTTTAATTGGTTAAAAGATAACTTATTTTTACTTTAAAAGTAAAATTTATTTTTACTGTTAAAGTACTAATCTTTAAGGTAATAGGAGAATATTTCAATTTTAATATTCAAGGGAAGGTTAGGGAGCGATAAGAGAATATAATATTTCAATTAATTAAATGATTCAGGAAAACATAAAGATGGAGACATGAAAGCAGCATCAATTTAAAATGCAAATCGACTGTTCCTAGAAAAAAACAAATAATGACTTTTTAACGGTAATCATCTGATATCTATGAAGAATAACTTCTCCAAAAATTGAATTTAGGTTTAGCTAGCCATATGTCAAATGAGTTGAAGTAAGTAATTCTTTTAATTTCAACAGCAATGCCATCAAAAAAAAAAAGATTATTTTTCTTTTTTTTTTTATTCCGATTCACTCCTAACAAGACTGCAAGCAACCACTATTACGTTGGGAGTTACTAGTAAAAAAAGAATAGAGTTATAGAGTAAGGAAAAGGTTGAAAGAAGACTTAAAATGTTAAAGGTTGTAAATGATTCAGGAAAACATAAAGATGGGAGAGAGTACCAAAAGGTTGAAGTGCGGGGAAAAAAGCTAGATAAATAAAAGTTTTTGGAGCATGCAGGGAAAGATACAGTAAAAGAATGAGACTTTGATGAATGACGAGTCAAGCGAGAATGAGTTTTAGTTGATGGAACTAGAGATGAAAGCTCCTTTGAGCAGCGACCATGATAATACTTGTAAAAAAAAGAAAGAGATGCAAATTTACGACGATGGAAAAGAGGCTCAAACTTAGCAGATAGACCGGGTCCAACTACGTTTACAATGCGTCTTTTGACCTTGTCTAGAAGAGAAAGAGCAACATTAGAAAAACCAGCCCAAATATGGCAACAGTATTCCATACAGAAACTAATAATTGTGCGGCCGTGGCGCAATGGTTAGAGTGCTTGCTTTAGTAGCAGGAGATCTAGGTTTGAAACAAACTCTGGACATATTTTCGCGTCACGGTAAGGAAGAAGGCGTGAACTTTTTGATTAAATGCACTTCCGTGGTGCTCTGTGACAAAACCGTTAGGTCTAGTTGGGACACCTAAATATCAAAATTAAAAATAAAATAAAATAAAATAAGAGATATGTAGAGGTAGAGAATGGAATCAGGAGAAAAAAAATGGTGAGCACGATAGAGCAAAACAATCTTATCAGATGCTAATTTAGAAATCGATTGTATATGTGGTTTCCATGAAAGGTCACTAGTAAATGATAATCCAAGAAGACGTAAAGAAGAGAACTCAGTGAGAGGGTTGCTATTCATCAATGTAGGAATGTCGGCAGTACTGAGATAGATGTTTGCAGTAAATAACTGATTTTGTTGGAGTTAAAATTTAAAAGCCACTGTGAGCCCCAATCTTTACAGAAGTGAGATCAGATTCAAGATTGGCTGCCTGTTTTAAGTGACCAAAAAGAGAAGACTTTTCGTCAAGACAGGAGTTGAAAAAATCTCAAAAAACTTTCCCAGATACACCATATAAAACAAGCTTATGGAAAAGACCAACATACCAAACCTTGTAAAAAGCCTTAGATATTTCAAAAACAAAATCCCTAGCCTCTCCGCCTTTATCTAATGCACGATAAAATCTTTCCGTTACAGCAGTTAGCAAACCAGCAGTAATCTTCCATTGAGCAATTTACAAGGGGTAGGTAATAATTCAGACAGATTTAAATCATATCGGTCTGAATTTTACTTTTACATACACAGTTATATAACAAAAAGATTAGTAAATAAATAACTAATTAGTTAATATTTGCTTACTTTCTATTACTAACACTCTATCTTATATCGTCTTTTTTACATTACTTTTATGTAAACTTTTTCAATTTCTAAAATTCTTGTCCTAAACGTTTTTTTCTCCTTGTTTATGTTTACTAAGATACGTTTACAACTGTTAGAAGTGTACGTTTCAGGTACACTTCTAACAGTTATAACCCGAAAGCGCAATCTCGTTTTGAGTTTTACGCAGTGGGAACTAGTATTTCAGGCGGATCTAATATTCTACTACAGCTCATACCATAATCCAAGAATCAGATAATTTTAAAATCTTTTTATTAAGCTATTTTTATTACCGGATTTGGTGGATTTAATTAGATGAACCGCAAGGACATTATTTTTGTCGTTTGAGAGTTGGCGCACATATCGTAATACAAAAATTCGTTGATTTTTGAAGCTTACAGTTTAGCTGTTTTATATTTTTTTTTTTAGCTTTATTACCGGGTTTGGCGAATATAATAATATAATAATAAGTGCTGCAACTCTCACTCGCCACTACCTCGGTTGCAATGGCTGCGAAGGGTTTCGTGTCAAATACGCTCCAAGGGACACTATTAAAACTAAGTTCGTCATTATTGTATAAAAGATTAACAATTTTTTTTATTCTTAATAATAGTATTAATAACTATTTTCAATTACCAAAAAATTTACGTTTCTGAGGCAAGTGCGCTACCACTGCGCCACGGCTGCACAAAATCTCTTATGCGCATGCGCAAACTTACCAAAAAAAAACAAAAAACAGAAAAACCAAAATTAGATATCTAAAGTCCAACACTAATTAGACTAATTGCTTATAATTATTTTTCGTTGAAATTTGGCTTTTGTTGATATTTGTTGAAATTTGTTGAAATTTTGTTGAAAGTTGAAAAAAAAAAAATGATACATTTTGTATGTATCATTGTATACGTGTATATAAATGAGTTTCCTTAATTTCTGCATATTATCAAATAAATGATACGTACAAAATGTATTATTTATTTGATAATATGCACACAAAAGTTTAGGAAATTCGGAAATTATTGTATGTATTATAAAGATTTAGTGAAAAACCGGGTTTTTTTACCCCTGAAAATTCCGCTAAAAGGTTAATTGAAAAAAATTGAAATAAATATTTTTTTATTAACTAATGCTAACTTGTTTTGGTTTAAAAATATTGAAAATATTAAAATTGAATTTTTTTTTTAGAAAAGTAAGTAAAATCCTACTTCCGCTTCGCGACGCCTAATGCAATGAACCATGGAAGTATAAAACAGATGGAAGTTCAACCGCTTTGAAATTCTTCGGGACTATGCTTGTAACCTTTTGTTTCGTAAACAATAAGAAAACGACATCAAGACTGTACTTCAACGCTTAATCCGTTATACGTTGACGCAAATAGATACGTTTATAATAGTTTAAAAAAATAGTGTTTTGAAGGTTCGCCAATAATATTCAAGAAAAACATTAAAAATGGCGCAACGTAACGGCAAGCAACAATTTTTATATAAACTTTATATTAAATGAATGGAGTACTACAAGAATGAATGGAGTTATGATATACATCTAATAAAACTTTAAACTTAAGTTATTTAAAAAACAACTTTTTTGATTTTTTAAAAATTGTTTTAGTTGTCTTTTTTATCAAATGTCGTGTTATGACTTGAAGCAAGAAAAGAAGCTTAAACTAACATATGCTTTTAAAATCAAGTGGTTCTATTTAATTACCGAGTTTTAATAAACCTTTTGTTGAATAATTGCAATTACTAATGGTTAAAAATTTCAGCATATCCCTAGAATGATTCATTTTTTAATATTTTAATAAAGATCATTTCAGTGAATTTTGTTGTCTTTTTATCCAGTGAAACTTGTTTTTTTTTTATTGTCGGTTACAAGCATACTCCCGAGACGACTTGAAATTGCTTTGATGTTTGCGGCTCGATGAACTTCCATCTGTTTTATACTTCCATGAATGAACCTAACAATATTTTATAAACAATTAAGTTGTTTATGTATTCGCAATAAACAATAAATAAAATATTTTTAATAACGACAAATATTAAACCTCATAATAACGACAATTATTAAATCTCATAAATATAATCTGCGTAATTTCATTAGACACTATTTTAGTTTTTTCAAATAACCTTAGACGGTCACTTCAAGTGACCGTGACTCACTTCAGTGACTCATTTCAGCGACGTTAATTTTTTTGCTTCTTTTAAGGTGGTAGTATCCTCAGAATTCTAAAACCTTTAATTTTGAACAAAGACTATTGATTTTTTTGGATAGTATTAAAAAAATTGCATAAATAATGAAGTAATAAAAAAAAAATTTAATTTTATATTTGGACCCAAGTTTTAGGTCGCGAAACCTAAAAAAGTCAAAAGATGCTGCAATAAATAATGAGACAATGGTAGATGCTATAAAACTCAAACTTTCAGTGCTTACTTATAATATATTAATAAACTCATGGAAGCAAAATTGTAAAGTTAGCTTAAATCAATAAGGAGATACAGCATATATAACTAGTGGGTCAAAATTTACCCCAAAACAGCCCCCTTTAGGAGCCCATAACTCTGCAAAAAAATAATATAAAAAAAAAATACTGCTTCAATGAGCTCATCATATATGTTATTACAACTGTATAAAATTTTAAAGCACCATAACAAGTGGTTCCCAAGTTATTTATTGCCCCGTGCTAAAAAATGGCAATCTGAGAAAACAGCAATTTAATAAAATTAACATCGAAAAAACAAGTTAAAATATCAAATAAGTTCTCGTTATATTTCTAAATACTTTGTAATCACTCCTCAATGTATTAAAAGCAATAAACTAAGTTTATCTTTAATTTTAATTACTTTTTTAAGTACCATATAGAATATATCTATATATATTCTATATGGTACTTAAATTTTTTAATTACAAGGATTTATTTTTTAATTACAAGGATATAACTATATATCATATAGTTATATCCTTGTAATTAAAAAATGAAAAATATAAAATAAAAAAAATATATATAAAAGTAAAAATTATGACAACCAAATTTATAATTTTAAAATAGTTATATCAATTGAAATAAAGCAAAACAACTAAAAACTTCCAGGACCATAAGCTATTCCTTCTCTTTCTTCATCTTGATCGCTATAACCTTTTCGTTTTGCCCTAATTTGTTTCTGACGTTGCTTTACCTTACCAGTCGATTTTTTTGCTATATTTTTAATTTTTTGATTATCTCTTTGATTGCAAAATGTAATACAGTTTTTACCAGGATTCATACCAAGCTCTAAATAAACATTTAGTATACCAGCTAATCCTTCATTGAAATTAGTAACAGCAGATGCTGCACCTATCTCCAAAGCAGTTTGTCCCACATAAATATCTTTTGGACACCGCTTCCAAATTATTGCATTCAAGGCTTCATTGTTGTTTTGAGTTTTTCCATGAAGGCACCTTTTTAACAGGTTTTCATCAGATAAGTCAATAAATATTGGTTTGATTATATCCCTAATAACAGTAGGCAGACCTGGTTTTTCTTTATAAACGTTTGTTTTATTTATTCTGTCTGCTTGATATTTGCACCAAGTATCAATAGTTCGAGGACACATTGCATGTCTTACATCAAATGATGAAGCCTCAAAGCAATGAAATAATACAGCTCCAATAGCCTTTTTTAGTTCATATACAGATTTACCACAGCATTGACGAATCACAATTCCAAAATAATTTTGTAACTTGTTAATTTTTTTGTCTGTTAGACGACCAACTCCCCCTAATTTTTTACCATCACTTAATAAGCTTTTATTAGTTGTTTTTAACTTTCTTAGTCTTGATCCAACTCGTTTTTGAATATGACTTACACATTCAAGCTTGGTTATTTCTTTTCCATCATATGGATTCTGTTTTTGAACATCTGAAAATGCTTTAGAGTCACCGTCTCCAAGATAATTTATATATCTTAATTTTCTTTCTAAAACAGAAGCATTAAAACACTCCACAAGTCCTGCTGCTTCCATAGATCCAGCAGATCCAATATGATTGAGGCAGCAGTTATTGTTATGTTTTTGCAAAAACTCTTCATACTCATCAGAGTTAAACTTATCCTCCCAGAGTTCATAAGCTTTACATTTTTTTGTGCGAACACGATAGTCAAGGCATTTGCCTGTATCAACCGCAACAACAGTTACTATACCATTTAAAGAGTTATGTCCTTGTTTCTGCCATGTACCATCACAAGAAACAGTAATATTTGAAATCCCAGTATCATCTCTTAATGTAAACTCAAGAGCTGCATTGATCATTGATTGTGTTGCAATATATTTATATGACAGCAATATTTTATTTTGAATATCATTAAAATTAGTTTTTTGAAATGGAGGTGGTAAGTTTAAAAAACCACATAATTTTTCTAATGCACTGTGTCCTTTTCCAACTTCACGCATTGCAATTACAGAACGTAAATTTATATCAAAAGATTTTTCAAAAGTTTTATCTGAAACTTTTTTACTGGTATAGAACTTTGTTTTCCATAAACACTCACTGCAGTTCAATATCAACAATGAACTTAAACCTTTTTTATTTTTATGATCTATATTTAAGTTGATAGACTTGCTCTCACAGTCAGGGCATGTTCCAACTAAGGTAATAATTTGTACAATAATATCAAGATCAATTAAAATATAGTTAGACTCGTTTTTATTACTTTGAGGTTGTGGAACAGCTCCATTATTAGCAACAACATTGCTGGTTAATCTTGTAAAGTTAGGTAAAATGCTTAAATCATTACTCTCAATTAATGGCAATTCTCTGCTTGCAAAAGTATTTTCAGTTTGGGGAAAAATAGACGAACTTGATGTTCTTGAAGTTCTTCTACTTTTTTAAAAAACTCTGGAAGCACCAATACTTCTTCTCCTCAAAGCATCAGTTTTCATTTTAACGATTAGAAGTAATTTATTTATTTTAATATACACTAAATAACTAAAAATAACAATGCTAAGCAATTAAACTCAGGCTATATTCAACATTAATAACTGAAATAATATTTGCTTTGAAGCCACTTTACAATCACGCCAAGAAATAAAGTGATTATAATTAATTTTTAAGGGAAAAAAAGAAGCCAAATATCACTTAGTATTTTCTAAACACTTACTGAAGAAAATACTTGTTTAAGGCAGCTCAATATATTGAGTAAACAAAACAGTATTGGTTCTTATTAATAAGAACCAATACTGTTTTGTTTACTTTTGTTGCTATGGAGTTGCTAAGGAGCAATAATTCATAGTACCTTTTTTAAAATGAAAAATAGAAGGCTTTATATAGATTATATTGAAAAAATAATAGTTCCATCGTTTTCAGCATGAATGAAAATGCCAGGAAAAGTTATATTCAAAAAATCAAAAAAATTTGAAATTTCTGACGATACTACCACCTTAAAGAAACCAGTTTATCAACCCGTTTTATTAATTAACTGTTTTGTGCGGCTTAGGTTTTTATTTACATGTTCATTTTATCTCTAACTGAAGCTTCTTTTAAAAGTTTATTAAAATAAGAAGAAATCAATATATGGTAAGGCACCTATGATGGCATATCGCCTATGATGGCATACCGGACATATTTTCATAAATATTGGTTATGGCAAAAAAGTAATTAGTCCAACATGTTTATACTGAATTTACATTAGTTTTAGTAAAAATACGTCCAAATTCACAATTGCACAAATATTGCTTTTATAATCAACAAAAATTTATTTGGAGATGTGCTGTTGTACTTTTAATCCCTTTAAATATTTAAGATTGTGATTTTATTATTAACTGTGCAGAAATGAAATTTTCATGCTTTTTGTTTCCAAGTTTTGTGCAGTTAATGAAATACTTTATCTTTTGAACAAGGCAGACATAGCTTGTTTAAATGAAAATGATGACTTATTCCAATGATGGAATACTGACGAGTTAGGTGTGTTGCAATAGTTGAAAAAACTTTTTTTTTTTCTTCATAAAAACAACATATTTATAAGTGAAGTAAAAAGAAATTTTTACTTCAGTAAAAAATTTTCGGTTTAAAAAAAACATAAAACGCAATTTTTTTTTTTTTTTTTTTTTTTAGTTGATATAGGTGCCCTAAGAAGTCCTTACGGTCTTATCACAGAGCACGGCGGAAGAGCATTTAATAGGAAGTTCACGCCTCTTTCCCAACCGATGTCGCAAAACTTGCTCAGAGGTGGGGTTTGAACCACGGATTTTACGTTTCTGAGGCAAGTGCGCTACCACTGCGCCACGGCTGCACAATATCTCTTATGCGCATGCGCAAAATCCTACACTGCTGCTGTGTAGCACGAAAGGGTCAGTCAGGATGATTACACGTAATTACTGGCATTTCTGAGGTAAGACTCTAAGGTCAAATGAAATCATTGAGTTACCCTTGATGCTAACCAGCCCCATCCTCCCCTATGTCATCATAGGAGCAGTAGTTGCTTATGATGGCATACTTGACCTTTTTTTTGAAATAAAAATAACTAATAAAAAAATAAAACTTATCGAAACTCCTGGGGTTATTATTGTTCTACGTAACAAAGAATGTATCCATGTCAAAATTTTTGTTCTTGGTCTTCAGGATACTGAATAATGAAGCTTTAAAGTTAAGTATGTCATCATAGGCGCCTTTCCCCTATATTTTTATTAGAGCAACAAAAATGATGTTATTTAAAAATGTTTGATTCGAGAAAAATAGTATGAGCAAGCAAAAGTCGAATCTACGTGGATAAAAACAAATCATTTACTTTACCATATTGCTATAAAGAATGTCATAGTAATAATAACACTAGTATGCCCTATTTTCCTAATCAGCAATTGAATGTTACCTGTGGAGGCATTACATTAGGTACTCTAAAATCATTGTTTTACAAAATGTTTTAACCAGCATCAGTGATATTAGCAATGTCACTGCGTTCTTTCAAGTAAGACTCGGACATCTGCCAACCCTACCCTAGATTAACATGCACTAAAAAAGATAAGTCAACGTTCGGCATCTATAAATTTGCTTTTATTATTTAGTTTTATTATTTGTATATGAAAGTTTTTATATTATCTTTCTCTAGCATTTCTTTATGATGTAAATGCATTATGTTGATAGTTTTATTTATCTAGTTTGAATTGAAGTTTATCTAACTTAAAGCATTAGTTTTAGTTGAATTTGTACCTTTACAAAAAGTTTAGTGATTCAAAATAAGATTTTAAATACTTGATAAAACGCAGACCTGGAAAGTGATTGTTAGCATTAAAGTATTACGACTTTTGAGTTTGTAATTTTATAAAAGTTCAAAATCTTACTTTGAACTTTTAAAAAATTGCAAATATAGCAAATAATTACATAGTCATAAGAATAAATTGTATTCTTTGTCATAAGAATACAATTTATTGTTATGACTATGTTCAAAGTAAGATTTTAAGTTTAAATCAAAAAACGATGGAAACAGTTCGTGTTTCTGAACTATGTCATTGTCTGGAAACACGGAGCGTTTCCATCGTTTTCTGATTTAAACTTAAAAACTGCACGGCAACCCTGCACAACTTTTGAAAAAAAAAATTATTATTTTTTTTTTATCAAATATATATATACAAATCGTGATAACAGTGTAAACTAGGTTCTCCATGGGTAATAAAAAGTCACTAAACAAAGTTCTTGTGATAGGAATCTTATTTGATAGTTTAGGACCTATTTCAGTAAAAAATTTATTAAATTCACGTGATATAACTTTTGGTTCAAATATACTTGTGTTTTCAATTTTAATCATTTGTGGCAGAAAACCAAAGCATGATTTTTGTTTTCCTATAATTTTCTTCATTATTTCCCAAATGCGCTTAGTGTTTTATTTGAATTTGTTAAGTAATTCCGAGTAATATTTTTTTTTTAAGTTTTTACGAATTTTCTCAAATAAATATTTATAGTTTTTGTAAATTTTTTCGCTCGCAGTTGTTTTTGTTTTTAGAAAATTTATATTTAGGGATTTTAGGGATTTTTTAAACCCCTTGGTTATCCAAGGAGAGTTCAAACTCTTAAATTTTGCTATTATTTCAACTACGGGAAAGTTAGCGTCGTATACAGAATAGAAAGTTTTGAAGAAAGTTTCATATATGTTGTTTGCATTATTGTTTATGTTAATATTATTCCAATGGAGTAAGGATAGATGGTCTTTGAATAAATTAAGGTTATTTTGATTAATGATACGTTTCTTCAATACTTTTTTGTTGTCAATGTTTTTTGCTGTATATGTATCAATTGTTAAAAAATGGGAAAATGGTCCGTTATATCAGTTTTTAGTATACCTTTTTGTATACCCTTATCAAAAATATAAGTTGAAATAATATTATCAATTAAAGTCGCTTAGTTTATAGTTACTCTGGTAGGGCGATTAATGAGGGGGATTGATCCTGTTTCAAAAAATGTGTCATAAAAACTTTTTACTTTATAGTCATTGTTATAAAGAAAGCAATTCATATTAAAATCCCCAAGCAAAATATTTTTTTTCTTTTCGGTATCGCCTTTTTTAATGATGTTATGCAAAAACATGCTAAAGTTTTCACTCACGCCAGCAGGTGACCGAAAACAACAACTAATTAATAAGTTTTTTGTTTGGTTGCTTTCAATTTCAATTGTTAAGGCTTCTTTGTCGCTATCAGAAATGCTCAAATTGCCTCTAAAAACAAGCCTAAGTGTTTCGTGCGCATAAATTAGTACTCCACCACCTCGTTTATTTATTTGTCTCTCCAAAGAAATAATATTAAAATGCGGAATTTGAAAATTACTATTTAGATCTTTTGATCTAAATAGTAATTTTCAAAATAGCAAGCTTTCGTGGTTAATTGTGGTTTGGAATGTTTTTTTGATATGGTTAAAGGAGAATTTTTAAAAAAAGACATTAATTTAGCTACATACATAGATTCCTTTGCTTGTGAAGTCAATAGTTATGTCAAACAACAAATAATCTATGTCTAAAGTAAATATTTCATCAAAGCATATTAAAAAAAATTCTTACCGATATTCTTTAAAGATTTATAAGAGGAAATTCTTTTAATAAAATGTCACCGCTATAGCTGAAAAGCATAAATAAAGATTGTGCAAATTTATTGGAAGTAGACATACAGTATCGGACAAAACAAGTGCAACCAAATAATGCTAGTTTAGTTTCTTTATATAAAAGTGCTGCATTTTTTCAATTTAGAGAAATAACTATGTAACTGTTTAGAGACAACGTTCTTCAAGTTTTATTCATTACAAAATTCATTATTTGTACACGAAAATTAATAAATTAATCAAAAGTATTAAAAAAAAGTTGATTTCTTTCTGGACAAAACAAGTGCAACTCCACAAAATGTTGAACAAGCTGTATTTCGCTATCAATATTTTGTGGGGAATTCTTTGTTGTCGATCACAGCCTTGCATCTTCAAGGCATAGATTTGATCAGGTGATCAATGAAACTTTGCGGAATCGGTGCCTAGGCCTTTTGGATTTGTTCAAACAGTTGATCCTTATTACAAGCACCTTCACGATTAATTCTGCGGTTGACGATCTCCTACAGGTTCTCGATAGGGTTGAGATCCGGAGATTGAGGCGGCCAATCCATCACCGATAAATAGTTGTCTTGAAACCACTGCTTGACTACTTTTGCAATGTGTTTTGGATCGTTGTCTTGCAGAAAAACCTATTTTATTGGCGTATTTCATTCAGCATGAGGTAACATAATATCTTTCAGGATATTTTTTCCCATGAAACGGTCCATTATTCCATCGATTCGATCTATTGGACCTAGACCGTTAGCAGAAAAACACCCCCAGACCATTATATTGTCTTCACCATGCTTCACGGTCTTAAGGCAGTAATGTAAATTGAGGCGTTTTTCGGCCGGTCGACGTACACGACAAATGCCATCACTCCCAATGATGTTGAACTTCGATTCATCACTGAAAAGAGCAGTTAGCCATTTTTGCACATTCCAGTCAATATGAGATGTTGCAAACAGGAGTCTTTTCTTCTGGTTTTTTAGTGAAATCAGCGGTTTCTTCGCAGGACGTCGAGAAAACAATCCGGCTTCAATAGCACGTCGTCTGATTGTTTGGTCCAATACAAGCAGCTCTAATTGCTTTTATATCTCGACTGATAATATCCAGGGATCATTCTTGACGGATCTGAAGATCATAGAATCCTCTCTAGAAGCGGTGGAACGCGGTCTTCCACCTTTGTTATCTGCTGGCAACTTCCCCATAGAACGATATTTGGAACATAGTCTTGATACGTTGATTTTTTCACGCGATATTTATCACAAATACTTTTTCGTGACATTCCACTTACGTAATCGTCAATAATTTTCTTTCTTAGTTCTAATCCAAGACTGTCGGGAGCTATTTTTGCACTTGAAGTCATTAAAATAATAAAAATAAATAATCACGCTTCTCAAGGCTTACTGTGTTACATTTACCTTGTGATGATACAATAATGCTCTGTGGAACACAACGTCTGGATATTTCCTTTAATTATTAAAAAACTTCCGTGACGTTGACACGGACCAGACTTGAAAAAATGAAACAAACCAAAAAAGTTGCACTTGTTTTGTCCGCTGCAAAATGGCACTTGTCAACGAAATTCTGCCTGTGTGCTGTCACCTGTCAGCTGATTGCTCATATCATGGCATGCTATGACTCCAGACTCCTGAACTGTTTGCTGTGGTAGTATAGTTCGTTTCGTTTTTAAGACATGTAAAATTAGGAAAACTTTTTAGCATTGTTCGATGTTGCAAATGTTTTGTCCAATACTGTATATCTGCTATTTGGTATAAGAAAGCAGTTCTTGACTAAAAACCTTGTGCGAGCTATTTAAATTATCAATTGATGATGTTGAACATGTTTAGAAAAAAATAAATCTAGTATTATAAAAATTCAATAGCAGTTTATTTTATTAAGAGTATTATGGACTGTGGAGTGAAAATCTACTAGCTTCACACTTCAGTTATATAACTTTAGATAATTGAAATGTCTTCTGTTATTTTAAACAATCTTTCTGATATAAAACCAAAAATTAGTGAACCTTTAAATGCAACTCAAAAAATAACTGATATATAGAAAAAAAGTTTACAATATCTTTTTGGATATATGAACATCTAAGAAACTTGTTCAATTTTGAAAAGTTATTTTGTACTTTCTCTTCATAAACAAGTTTTCAATGATCTAGAATCAAGTAAAGATAGTAAGAATTTGATAAAGCACTAACTTTGTTTGTAAAATTTGTTCATTTTTTTATGCCAAAGACATTACTAAAAAACACAAAATGAGAAAGAAACTTGCAAGACCCGTTTATTGCGATCTGAAATTGAGAAAACAAGTAAAAGAAATTGACTTAATTAGTTTGTTGAACATAAAAGACTAATTTCATAGTCACTTTACTTTTTAAAACATTAATGGTATTACTACTACTTAAACTCTGTTAAAAAATTTATGATAAAGTTTATTTATTAAGATAGTCTTTTAATAAACATTTCAGTATGTCTCATAGTTAGATCAATAAAATTCGGGGTTCGGGTCAAAACAAGATCCAAACTTTTAATATATATATGAAAAGTTTGGATCTGGTTTTTTTATAATGTTTTGAAAATTCGAAAAGCAGCCGGGCGCAGTAGTAGCACTTGCCTCAGAAACATAAGATCCGTGGTTCAAACCCCACCTCTATGCAAGTTTTGCGACATCGGTTGGGAAGGAGGCGTGAACTTACCATTAAATGCTCTTCCGAGGTGCTCTGTGATAAGACCGCAAGGACTTTTTGGGGCACCTTAATCAACTTAAGAAAAAAAACAAAAACTTTATAGCAAATGGGTGGTACTTTTTAAAGAAAAATGCACTAATTTTTATATAAAAATCATTATAAATGTCAAATAATGTTTTTAAAGTTTTGCAATTATAAAAATAATCTTTTTTTGTTTTTGTTTTTTACTTAATAACAAAGGTAGAGCTCAACGTTGGTCTTTAATTGAATTGACAACTTTAAATTATTTTTTTTTATTTTGATAAACTTTCAATATTTTCATTTTACATTACCATTAATTAACAAACTGAAAACTCTGACTTAATTGCATTGATTTTATAGTTAAAATCTCTGCTTGATGGAATATATTTTCAGCAAATCTTTCAGAAAAAACAAGTTGAAAACCATTTCCAAGTAAAACTTTACCAACTTCTTTGAATAAATGCACTGTAATTTGCAAACCTTCAGAAAGTTGTGGAGGTAAATATTATTGATTTTAAGCTCTCATCAAAACTTCCTTCTTGTTGATCTTAAGGTTCATTCTACAATTTTTTCATTCTAATGATTTATTCAATCACAAAATCATCTGCTGATTCAAAATGTTTTAAAAATTGCTTCCTCTTTATTATATGTTAAACAATCAAAAAACATATCCATCATAATTATATCCATCATAACAAGTTTATATTGTTTTAGCTACTTTTGGTAACAGTTTAAAAAAATGATTCTAATGGCGTATTTAAGTTCTGTAGATTCAGCTCTTTCTGGTAAAAAAATATCGTGTCTTCTTGATAACCTGCACGATTGCACAATTTTCACCAGGCATATCAAGAAAAAGCAGTTTCAATGAAAACACAAAAACAACTTGGTAAAATAACAGGAAAACGCTAACAACTTGATTTACTTAAAAATGGTTTTTATCTTTTCTTGTAGATTGGAACATTTTAATCGTCATCGTAATAGAACAAAAGAAATTTTTCGAGTTATGACATACGCATTCTATATCCATTTAAAAACAACAATTGCCAATACGACTTTGAAAATAATAAAAATGCTAGCAGTAAGGACCCATAAAACAAATCACGTTTAGTTTGTTCCACACCTATCATTTTTATGTTTATTCTTTATATGGCTTCTTTCTTTAAATAACTTATAGTAAACGGTAGAGAATAATTGATTTAAAAATCTTGGCGTGACTCCCGGTGTTTTTAAAATTGATACATGCAACATGTGTCAAATTTAAAAATCTAAAGATTATAAATAAAGAGCATTTTAAATTATAACATTATTTGTGTAAAATTTTTTAATCTACCATAGCTAGCATGGGATGTTTATCAGTTTAGAAAAACCAACTATTCTTTCTTGATTGTTCTTAAAAATACAACATATGTTGACTATGAGAGAAACACAGATTTTTTTAGATACACACACAATTCTATCAAATGTGTGACCTTGACTTATATTTTCACTGTTTATGCCAATTTGATAAAAAACTGAGAATCTTTAAAATAAAAGTTTAACTAGAATATGATGGAGCCAACTGAATTTAAGGATTTAATAACCCAGGTTTGTGATCTAAATGTCTGAGTGATACAGTTACACAACCAATTTTCAAATTTAAACGATGAGGCATACCTAAAGGAGTTAAGTTGTTCAAAAACTCAAAAAATTATAAATGAACTGATTTCAAAATTGCGGAGCAATTTAGACTTGTTCCAATGTGTTAAAAATGGCAAAAACCCGTATGGCATCCCTTACCCACTCGAAACCTACTCCCACCAGCCCTACTTTCAAAGATGTGTGTGCATCAATATTGTCCAATGAATATTCTTTAACCGCTAGAAATGAAATATCGCAGAGAAAATTTGTACAAACTACCAGGAAAGTAAGTTTCTTTCTTAATGCTTGCTTTTAGCAATATGTATAGTATTAATATATTTTTTAAATAGCCATATAATTGAATGCTATTAAATGCTTCTTTTTTTTAACGATAACTGTTAACCAAAGTAAACTTTGCAAACTCAAACTTAAGATTGTTTAGTGTCTTAGACTTACTTAATAGTTGTGATAAAAAGCACATAAAAGCATTGATAAAATGTATTTCTCACAAGTGCGATTTTCGAAAAAAAATGTTTCTAGGGTGTGAGCCATCCCTAACCCTTGTCACCCCCTACTCATTCCCCTACTTTTTTTCCCCCTTCCACACACGCATACAAACCCTTGATGAAACTAAATCTCAATCCTCTTTTTCAAAATTCTCGTTTTACTCGTCATTCAGCTAAGTCTCATTCGTTTACTGTATCTGTCCCAGCATGCTCTAAAAACTTTTATTCATCTAGTTTTTTTCCCCGCACTTCAATCCTTTGGAACTCTCTCCCATCTTCATGTTTTCCTGACTCCTACAACCTTCAACTTTTCAAGTCTTCTGTCAACCGTTTCCTTGCTCTATAACTCTGTTCTTTTTTTTCCTAGTAACTCCCAACTTAATAGTGGTTGCTTGCAGCCTTGTTGGGAGTGAATGCAAATAAAAAAAAAAAAAAATCCGCCACTGGCTAAGTATATGTATTGTCTATAGACTATACATATACGTGTAGCTGTGGTGCAATGGTTAGAGTTCTGGCTCAGAACCCTAAGGTCCGAGGTTCGACGCCGGCTTTAGCCTAATGGAGGCATGAACTTCCTTGTTAAATGTTTTTCCGCGGTGCTCTGTGATAAGACCATAAGAACTTCTGGGAGCACCTTAATAACTACAAAAATATATATATATGTATTCAAGTATAGTACAAGTAAGTAGTCAATTATTATTATAAAAATTATAACAATTGACTACGTCAATGATTTTTATAAAAATCATTATACGTAGTCAATTATTTTTATAATAATTGAGTATAAAATATATATTTATAAATAATTGACTCAATTATTTTTATAAAAAGTTCCTTACTAAGAATACTTTTCGCTAGCTCGGTTTTTGCTAGCTCGGTAAAACATGTTGGTTTTTTCATTAAATTGTAGAATTAGAATTATACTTTCAATTTGCAATGAGTGTTATCTATTAATGTTTTAAATAAACTATTTCAAGTTAATTTATAACCGAGTTATTCATATAAAACAGTTATTCATATATTCATATAAAAAGCAATCATAAAAGCAAAAATATTTTAACAATAAATAACTTTTTGACATGGCATTTGTTTCTAATGTTTAATATAGGTCACTAACACGAACATTAGAAAGTGTGGCAAGATAAAACTTATCTCTCGTTGAGCGAAACGCGAATGTTTTTAGCAACATCTCGTGCAACCTAAAATATTCAAAAACTTATATTTTACTTAAACTTTTACTAGCACAAATAATTAATACAAATTTCAAGCGCAAATAATCTTCTATATAATTTAAGAGGAGAAATTTCATTCGGATTCTTTTTTTTTAAAGTATATTTGCTAGTTTATTTACTTATAGTTACAATAAATTACAGTTTATAGAGTCTAACAACAGAACTCAGATTGTAACAGCTTTTCACAGTTTTGTATATAATTGTCATAATGGGTTTATATTGGGATGAAATATATTTGAATTTAAATATATGGGATAAATATATTTAAATTTAAATATATTCATCCCTCAACCTTCTATTTTCCAATGTCGAAAGATTGATTTTATTTAATCTATTTTTGTATAGTCAACCTTTTAAACTGTTGATACGAGTTGCTCTTTGTTGGATTTATTCGATCATATTGATATGCTTTTATGTTTTTGTAAATATGGATTTGATAATGGTACTTTATATTAAAGATAAGGTCATACTAATGAAGTAAAGAGTAATTTTATATTTCTTTGTCTAAATATTTAAGTGCTTTGTTAGGCATAACTTTTAGTAAGCTTTATTTTTATGATTGAGATAATTAAAGATACAACTTTTTCTTTTTTTTTTCTGTGATTATTTTTTTTTGTTATTTTGAGTTTTTTTTAGTTCTTTTAAAAAAAGCTTATCTTAAGAAACTGGTTTCTAAGATAAGATGATTGGGTTTGTTGAAAATAACGCAATCTTCGGTAAAAAGTTTTTTTTTTTAAACGAACTATTCATTTATTCATAGACCAAAAGTAAGTGAATTTAAGAAGAACGAAGGATCATTGAGTGAAAGTCAGACGAAATCGAGTTATAAAGATAGCATAAAGAAAGAGGACAGATATTGCACCAGATGTTAGAATGTGCAATTTAATTTCAATATCAAGTTAACTCGATAAGAACTGTTGTAACGTGTTTTGTTTTACAAAATTTACGTATGAAAATATGCTACATAATTTTAATAGATATTATTGGCAAACCGTCAAAATACTATATTTTTAAATTATTATGTACTATTTACGTCAACGTATTAAGTTTAAGTGTTTAAGTACAGTCTTGATGTCATTTTCTTTTTGTTTATGAAGCAAAAGGTTACAAGAATTGTCTCAAAGCATGCGATTGATGAGCACATGGAAATCTGTTTTAAACCTCCATGTTTTTCTTAATCATTAAGAAAAACATGGAAGTTTAAAACAGAATTAAAATGACATCAAGACTGTACTTAAACACTTTAACTTAATACGTTGACGGCATTAAGTTAATGCCTTATGGTTTTCTTTAGGACAAATATTGCAGAATTTGTTGCGAATATATGGAAAACCAACCTTTATAACTAAGAAGAAGTTAAAGAAGTTAAACGAAGAGTCAAATAGTATGTTTAGTGATACCTAAGAAAGATCGCCTATGTAGTATACATTATAACATGTTAAAAACTCTTATTCTTATTGGTAATGAATCATTTTTATTTGTAATGAATATTATTGTTTTTACTATTATCATATAGAATAACAAATTTGTTATTTATTAGAAAA